GCCCCTGTTAACTTATAGGTATGCATATTTGGTACATTGGTATTTCGTATCATCTACTACAATGAGTTGTGTGGAATTGGAGTGAGGTCAGCGAGATTCGAGGTGGAGGTAGGACTGGAATGCAGTCTTGTCCAAGGAGTTGAGTTAGAGTCTCCGTAGGCCGTAGGCGTAGCGAAATTTGCCGCTGTTTCCCAGCGGTTGCGGGATGACTCCAACAGAAAAGAGTCACGTTGACAGTTGCGATGATCAGTCATCCAGCTTCCGTACGTCGTCGGCGCTCGATCGACGCAAGATGAGGCTGTTCGTATGTGGCTGGTTGACGCCGTCTCAAGACCCCCGCGTCCGCCGTCCGCGTGAGTGCCCCTACTGGCCATGACATGGCACGACAGGACGCAAGAGGAACAGCGGCCTCGAGCCGGGGCGATGCAGAGGATGCAGGGCGCCTGTCTCTGAAGGCCAACCACTGCTGGACACCACCCATTCAGCACAAGTCGAGCACACGACGCGCCTGTTGATCGCTGATCGTCCATGGATGGGTGCATTTTGAGAGAAAGTCATTTGGAGAATCCCTGTTTGAGTCTCTCCCCTGACTGGTCCAGTTGTCGTAGTCTACAACACACAGTTTTAATGTAGCTCGACCGGCGGACTGTCAGGAAGGGGACCAGTAATGTTTCGAGAAGAAGTTCCCCCAAGATGCGACTCTAATCGAGACTGGCAAAGTCTGGGGAAAAGTTGATGGTTGGAGTCCCGTTGATCCCAGCATTCGCGTTGCTAGCAATAGCGATTATGCTCCGTACGAGTACGAAGTACACCCTTTAATAGCATGGACGAACGCGCATCGCCTTGTCGGTCGGGTTTGAAGGCAATCCGCCACTCGCGGAAGACGGGAAGAGGAGATCACCGATCATATCAGGTTTTGGGTTGAGATTGCATTGGTAGAGAGGTCCAACCGCGGGTCGGCGCTGAATCTCTGTAACTGACCGGTGTCTGTCGACTCTGTCTGTCAAAGTGGTGCACTGGTGCTGCCACAAGAAACGCATCGGCCGGTGCTCGCCGCCTTCCCTTTTCCCTCGTCGTCCTGGTGCGCCCCGTGGCTGAGAGTTGCCGATCATCTGTGGCTGCTGCATCAGCGCTCAGATCGTCGGGGGGTTCCTTCTTTTCTTGCTATGCGTACGGATAGCGCTCGCTGTTTTGCTGCTTTGCTGGTCTCTGTGCTTTCCTTTCCCTTTCTGTTGGCTGGTCCCTGATCGCTTAGCGGTCTGTCACGGTTGTCACAAGTTTGTTGTCGCCCCTTTTTGACCTGTGCTGTTGAAAGGAGTCCGAGACAGCCCACCCAGCCATCGTGGCGTACCTTTACAGGCTTGCTATGGGGCTGGAGGATGTTGATGTTTCGTTGCGCGGCCAGCGGGTGTCCATCTTGCCAGGTTGATGCGAGTTATGATGATGTTGTTGATTTATGATTGTTGTACCAAACTCCAAGGAAGAGGCCGTTGTGCAAGTTAATGGGAGTTAGGTTGATGGACTGAATAATGAGGTACGTATCTCGCATTTCGCATCGAAAAGGTGCTAAGAATATCATGCCTGAGGGTCGACATTTCACGGGAAAGAGTAGAGAAGGTACGTATCATCACAAGTATTTGTACTTCCTCTGCTCCTTTCATTCGCACCTTTCACGATGCCGGAATACGTACCTCAACTTGGCATCCACGGTCTGCGGTGACCCCAAAGCTTACAAAGTCAGCTCGGCTCAAACTTCAGTGGCAGAGTGGCCCGGAGTCGCACCTTGTTTGTTTGTGGTTTAGTGGACGTACCCTTGCTGCGTCCCCCACACTACCATCTCTTGTATCTCCACTGCGGGCTTTGGGGAAGAGATACATGGTAAGCCGAGTCCTCACCCTTCCTGGCCTCTCGCTGGCCTGAGGTCTACATTGGCCGGGTCCAGCCCACTAAAAAGTACTTCGTACACACTTGTCACCTTGGAAGCAATGCATTTTCCCTATGAATTTTCCTGTCCCTCTCTGTCTCCAGCAAAAACTTCAGTGAGTGTACCGTAGTCTGAGAGTGAACCTCCAGAAGTGTCGATGTACCTTTGAGCCCGTCTATAGAAGCAAGGTACGACAGGTATGAAGTACATGCGTCCCTTCCCCAAATTTTGTGATGCCACCACCCCACCCCTCCTTTTTTTTTCGTCTCCCCTTCGTGCCTTCCTGGTTCTCCATTGTCGAGACTGTCTCCGACCTCCGCCTTCAAAGTCCGTTCAGGTCTCTCCCATTCACTCAGTCACTCAGTACCATCACCCCTCTGGCCTTCACCCATCATAATCAATCTTTTTCTTCCTCTCTCCGTGTGCCTCTCTCTACCTCTCCCTTCCCCTCTCCCCCTTCCTAAAATTCAGACCAATACTTGGGCCTTGAACCTGAGACAACCCCCAAGGCAGACCATTCCTCCCACTTCACTTCGTCTCGTCTTGGCCAAGCATTTCGACCAAAAGCCAAAGCTATTCGGATGCCAGTAGAAGAAGAAAAAGGTACGTAGCAGCAGGCCTTCCCCGTCATTCACCTCTGGGTTCCTTGCGCGGGCAGTCAGGGCAGGCAGGCTCAGAGGTACCTTTTCACCAAGGCCTCGGCCTAGGTGTACTTCAGCCTCCTCCACCGCACCCACGTCCCACCCACCTCACGCACCACACCGCGGACCATTCATTCAACCCATCCCACACATTACGATGCTCATTTACTAACCCGCTCCTCCCGCGCGCACCCAGGGTCCTCTTCCTTTTCCTACCTATGCCTCACTTCTACAACCAATACCAATCAACTATCTAAACAACCCCTCGAACGCTCTTCATTTGTCTCTCTCTCGCTTGCACAGCTGGGATTCCCAAATTCGTCACCGAGACCTTGCGAAAACGAACCGTCGCCTACGCCTGCGACACCACCAACAAGACTATCTTACCCGCGATTCACGACAAGATGGACCTCAATTTCCAACTTGCCGCCCGTCAGATTTCTGCCTGTGCTCTTTAGAGACACGCAAAGGGACATCTTTCAACATTGCCTCTTGTCCCACGGGAGGAAAAACACCGTTGCACGCTTTTCAACACTCCTCAAAAATTAACTACCAATCGACAACACGTACCGCTTCGCTCACACGACCTCTTACCCTTTCCTTACCTTTCTCCGAAACCCTGAACTTTACTACCCACGAACCCCAGAAGATATAAGTACTGCGACGCCCGTGAACAGTCACGCGATCAAGCTCACTCCACGATCACTCCACCCACGACTTACACCAGTACCCCATACCATGGCTGGTGCCGTGGTCTCAAAACGAAGTGCGAGACAGTTCTTCGAAGACGAAGGTGGTCATCCCGCAGAACATCCTACCTACCATCCCGCGAGACGCAACTCCAAGCAAGACGATCCCATCCCTGTTGAGATGGCCGACAAATACCAAATCAAGGGCCCTTCGCGGCAAGGATCGCGCGAGTCCGTAGCTGGCTCCGACTCTACGCTGGAGGGTTCTATACAGAAGCAGATCATGAAGGCGATTGAAGACGATTCTCAAACTGTCGCCATCGTTGGAGAGAAGACGTTGGCCAGGCGCGAGGATGGACTTCTCAAAGTCAACGACCAGGCGAAATCGCCCCTAGGCTCACCGATGTCGCCTGGCATTGAGCGAGTCTTGCCTATTGATGGACGACCCATCAACTTTGGCGTTGTTGTCCCCGGAGTCTATCGAAGCAGCTATCCCAAGCCTGAAGACTTTGGCTTCATCCGCAATCTTGGTCTCAAATCAATTGTGTAAGTCACCACAGGGTTCCATTATCCCCAGAGGCCGTTTCTAACATTGCTCTTAGTACCCTTGTTCAAAAGGATGACGTCGATGAACCTTACACTGCTTTCATGTCAAGCAACGGTATTCGTCACCACGTCTTTAATATGAAGGGTACCAAGAAGGAGGCCATTCCCATTCGCACAATGAAGTCAATCTTGCGACTTGTTCTAAACCGAGAGCACCACCCCCTGCTCATTCATTGCAACCATGGCAAGGTATGTCTACAACACCAGACAATTTTGGTATCGTTCGCCCACTAACATGACTATAGCATCGCACTGGCTGTGTCGTTGGGGTGGTCCGCAAGGTGACCGGCTGGGAGCTCAACACCATTGTCGATGAGTATCGGTCATACGCTGAGCCCAAGATCAGAGACTGTGATGTTAAGTACCTCACCGACTTTGATCTCTCGGATCTTTCCAACCTGTTCGTCCACGAAGCGAATATGCGGTTTCGGATCCGGCACTTTATGAGAGTGACGCTGTTCACTGTCTTTGTCGTCTTCGTCTGGTTCATTTCGGGGCATAGAATGCAGACGACAGCCAGACGCGTCAAAGAAGTGAAGTAATTGACCCTGTCGCGGATGTTACAGACTCTAGCGTTTCTGCATAATGCTTGGCATTGGGCGGATCTTGGCCGAAGTCAGAACTTGGTGGAGCGCAGCGCAGCATGGTACAGCACTCTAGAAGAAAACTGGAGACTGTTACCCAGCAACTACACCCTACACAAAGACAGAAGAAGACTACAGATCGATGATGAAAGAGAGGGGAGAAGGCTGTTACAGCACTGGTGAGAGGAAGATCGACGATATGAGTCGAAGTACATGAAACGGGACAGAAGAATGAGGACACACAAAAAGTTTGGTACATTGGGACTGCCGCCCTCAAAGATGCAGCACAGACTGCCTGGGCTGGACCGGCTTCCTTCATTTTTTCCTTTGTATGGATAGACAGAATACTGGGGACTCATCAAGAGCTGAGATGTCTCCTTTTGGCGTTAATTCGAGACTTGGGAGGTCATCGACAATGGCATTTCATCACGTACAGGCTTTGTTTTTTTCCTGCCTTTCTGTTGTATTGTATTACTACCTTGGTAGGGTAGTCTGGATAGTTGACCATTTTGGGAGGTTATGACCTTTCTGCAAACGTAATCAACTCAAGTCAACATGACTGATTTCTACATGGTTGAAATTTGTGTACATGTTATTTTACAAACTCGGTCTACCCGTAAAGTGACCGTTTCTCTGTCTCCACGCTTGCTATTTCCGTGTGTAAGCATTAATTACCCCAAGCGTTTATCGAGAACATTGCATGTGTGTATGTCGATCCATCCCCAGACGCTGCCGTTTCGCGTAACGACGTTTCGTCTCATGACTCGATGTATCTTACTATCCTATCAGACTTCTCCCATAATCGTACAATAATCCTTACAATCGATACTATTAACGTCTACGTTGGCTTGGCATTCCGTGTTTCTTCAGACAACTCGAGCCGAGCCAAGACCACCACCTGACAGGAGAGTGGCAGCACTCCCCCGGCAGAGACCATACGGAAGAGCATCATGCCCTCTTTGAACATGATCTGCCTTGAGTCTTCTCTCTCTTCGTCTGGCAACTCTCTAAAATATCTCTCTTTCTGTCTTCCTTTCTCTCTATCATGACTCCCCGCCCCAGCGATTCCTCTCTTTCCTCTCCACCTCGTCCTTCTTCCGATCGCCATTGGCATACACCCACGCGCCGGCAGCAGAGTTGGCAAAGCCCATACCTATGGCGGTGCCGCGGACGAGGCCGCGGGCGGTGAACTTGCTCCGCAGAGGTTGGCGGCGGCGCAGGGCGAGGAGGGCGTAGAGGCCCGAGAGGGCGCAGGTGAAGCCCGCGCTGTCGGTGGGGAAGCCGGCGAGATTGACGTAGCTGCTGAAGAGGAGGGCGGGCGCGAAGGAGGCCGGGAGGATCTTGAGGGGCCGGCCGTGGAGGGCGCCGATTAGGATGGCGTGGATTGCGGGCGGGAGGGGGTTTGCTGAAGAGTGTTAGTGGGGGGCAGGCTGAATGGGGATGTTCTCAAGGTAGATGTGCGTACTGCCGTAGTCGTGGATTTTGCTGAAGACTGATGACTTGACGTCTTCCGTGTCTGGGAGGCCGTTTTCGGACGCCATTGTCGTTGGAGGATCTGGGATTATGGCGACCGCAAGATTGAGCTGATTCCGCGGGAGGAGAGAGGAAAGGATATCGTCACTGATTTTTTGGAGTCGCAGCAGGGACCTTTACTTCATGGTCCTAAGGTACCTTAGCTCATTCCCGTATTAGTGACATTCGTTATCGATAAGAGGAGACCCTGCTCGGATGAGTCAGCTGAGCCGCATACCCAATCAGCTGGTCAGTGGTTCCGGGGCGTCGGGCGAGTCTCTCAATTTCGACCCCCATCGAGTGGATTGGAACTTGGTACAGTGTCTTGTTCCCCCCATGTTGGCTGGAACTCTTGCGACCTTGGTCTACATTTCTTTCTCTTTCGCAAGACAGTCACGCGATTCCTTCCGGTGAAAACACAAGATCGTTCGCCACTTTCCGGGCTCATTGACGACAGAGTCCCGAGTCAGCGAGCTGTTTGCTGCACCTGGTGCGGGGGAGCATCGCATCAGTAACGTGGGCTCTTAGCCTTGCATCGCCTATCTTGCCAGATTGGCAAAACCCATCAACGCAACATCGTACCCTCCAACGACTGCGCGCACCCACGGCCGCGACGGTTCCCGATTCGCCCTGCACACATTTTGTGTGCTTCCATACCAAATACCGTCAATCGCAATCAATAACCTGATTCCGATCATCCGATAGACGACTACCTCGATTTTGCCCCGGCAACCACATTACCATACCAGGAAAAAACACCAAACACAAACATACACAGCAAGACCATGCCGAGCGCAACAGCCTCGGGCGCCGACTCAGGCGGCGGCGCCCGCAACCGCGAGCACAACCAGGGCAACCAGGCCCGCGCCTACACGGTCGATCAGAAAGCCGCCGTCCTGCGGATCCGGAAATGCTCGCCGACGGCCTTTTACGACATCCTCGGCCTCGAGGAGGTGAAGACGACGGTGACGGAGAGCGAGATCAAGAAGGCGTACCGCAAGCAGTCGCTCCTGACTCACCCGGACAAGAACGGCCACGAGCACGCCGATGAGGCCTTCAAGATGGTCAGCCGCGCTTTTAGCGTGCTGGGCGACAAGGAGAAGCGCGAAAAGTTTGACCGGTTCGGCACGGATCCCGATTCGAGATTTGGACAGGCACAGGCGCAGAATCCGTTTAGCGGTTTCGGTAGGCGGCAGGGCGGCGGAGGGGGAGGAGGAGGTGGTGGCGGTGGTGGTGGTGGGATGGAGGAGATGACGCCTGAGGAGATGTTCCAGCGCTTCTTTGGCGGTGGTGGGTTTGGTGGTGGACCTTTCGGAGGTGGAGGTAAGAATGAACTATCTCGAGAGACTGGGCGATGGAACTAATGATGGTGCGCAGGTTTCGATACGGGACCTCAGTTCGTTTTCAACTTTGGTGGCGGCCCGGGCTTCAGGGTACACCAGTTCGGCGGAGCGCGGCCGCGGAGGAGACCGCGCGAGGCGACGGAGCAAGAAGGCGGTGGGCTCTCGACGCTCATGGGCCTGCTCCCGATCCTGCTCCTCTTTGTCTTCCCGCTCATCTCGAGCCTCTTCAGCGGCGGCGGCCCCGCGACGCCGAGCATCGTCTACGACAACCCCAAGGGCGCCTATACGCTGGGGCGGACGACGCCCAAGCTCAACGTCAAGTACTTTGTGAACCCTAAGGAGGTTGAGTCGTTTTCCAAGGGGAAGCTCAGTCAGCTGGACCAGACGGCGGAGAACAACCTGGTCAGGACGCTGCGGTTCGAGTGCGAGAACGAGATGATGGCGAGGCAGCGGATGTACGATGCGGCGAGCGGGTGGTTCTTCCAGGACCCGGATAAAATGCGTAGGGCGGACGAGTTTGAGATGCCTTCGTGTAAGAGACTGGAGACGTTCCGCGTGGGGAGGTAATTAATGCGTTTGGGGGTCTGTCTGGTGATTACAATTTGAAGAGGAATAGAGCGGATGAGAGAGAGAGAGAGAGAGAGAGAGAGGGAGGGAGGCAAAGGCTTTGTATGAAATGGAAAGAGAGCTCGGAGAAGCTGAGAGACGCGTCCGGTTCACTTTTCTCTGTTTGGCGTTTTCTGGGGAGAACTCTTTGAGACTCATAGCATTGTTGGGAAACTCCGCGTCGGGCATTTTCTTTCCGCCTTTGGTCCCCTTTTTTCCCTTCTGTCGTCCTTGTGATGCAGATGCAGTATTCTTCTCATATCCTCTTTCCCCTCTCCACGCCCTGATATGCCTTTTCTGTCTTCTCGCCCTACTACCCTCCCATTGAGGATCAAGAATCGACATGTTCCCTGGACCTTTATGGTTACAGCCTTTCTCTTTTTCTCCATTTACCCCATGTCTGGTATGTCCCACACCTTTTGAAGTGGAGGTCCCCTTCTTGAAGTGATCCACAGCCCCAAACTTCGCCTAAGTCGGTCGGCGTCGGCCCTCTGCTGCCCACAGACACACACGAGGTGTTGGAATCATTTCTTAACCCCCACAGCATCGTAGGACCCTCAACCAGGAGCTCCAGCAAGCTTCCTTCTCAACTATCCCCGATGGCACAATTGGCTAGCGCGTCAGACTGTTAATCTGGAGGTTGGTGGTTCGAGCCCACCTCGGGGAGTTATTCAGTGGTTGGAATCCACAGCTGCAGTTGAGAACTGTTCTTTTGCTCTTTTTTTCCCTTGTTTTGCTCTGGTTTCGTGCCTAGGTGGTTCAGGCTGGGTGGTCATGTCAAAAATTTGCCCAAAATGAGGCATTTGGTTGGGTTGAAGCTACCACCTTGTCTTGCTGCGGGACTTGCATCTTTTTTGGGGTGGCTATGTCGATGATGATGTCCTGATTGCTGTGAATAAGTAAGTTGCTTCGAGTTGTTAGAAACCTCACCTAATCTTTAGCAAAATGTTGCCTTAAACGTGCTGTGAGATAACGAGATACCTCTATGGAAAGGCATTTCAGGATTATTTTATTCCGGCATTCCAGTTGGCGATATGGTGCACCTTTCTGAGCTGCAAGTCGGAGCCGTAGCGTGCGCGTCTTTTCTCTTTGTCTGTCTCTCATCATATCACATCACATCACATCCAAAGCACAGATCTAGAACCTTAAGAAAAAGATAGCGGGTTTATGATATCTGGATGCTTTTCCCGGAACTTAATTATGCGCCAGTGCTATAGCAGTTATACCTGAGAACCGCAGAGTAAGAAGAAGCTACTGCCGTTCTATTCATCTCTCACGGCGACGATGGAAGCGAAGGGAAACGTGATTCTTTTTGCTACTAGAACCTCCTGGGAGAGCAATATGCCTTGAGCGAGTTGAGGCGGTTGATTGGTCAATTTCTGAGAGTTTCTATTACGTCCGCAATACTTCCTATCTCAACCTTCCTTGAAGATTGAAGACAATTATCGAGTACATTTCCCGCCTCCCTTCCATTTTCGTTTTACAACTCTTTCTGATATATAATAGAATAACGTTTTGCGCAAGTTTTAGTTGGTCTCGTGACTCCTGCACCTCACAAGTCTCTAATCCTGACAGCCGTGGAGGGAGCGTGATGGGCTCAAAGGTGAATTCAGGCGCTGCGGAGGAGGGTAATTGTCGGGGTATGCCCAGTTATCAATGCTTGAAACGAGAGAAAGACCACTACTTTGTCAAGACTCGAAAGGAAAAAAGGTTTGTTCAAAGTTCAGAGTGTTATATGGAGGACTCAGTTGACTGGCTACTCCTTGCATTCCCAAGTCGGGACATTACTCAGGAGAGGGCATCTCCAGTTGATACTCTGTGGCTCATCTTGATGTCTCTGAGTAAGAATAAGAGATGAATTGATGCCAAGCCTGATGGAAGGATGGAAAGGTGTCACGATGAAAGAACTTTTGTAATTTGGCGTGTCCGAGTAAGCAAAAGGAGGCAGACGCATCAAACTCTCCCCATCTAGCGTCAAACCGTCCCATGCGGCCACGAACGGGCTCTATGGGGCATGTTCGAGAGAGATGCAGTGCCGAGGGAAGAGTGGAATTAGAGTGGAGGTGAGATCGGAAATCGAGACAAAATCGAGCGACATTGATTTCGGGAACAAGGTTCACAGGCTTAAACAATGGTCGCAATGTTAGTCAAGCCACACATAATGCTCTGAACGAGATTCATGCTTCGAGGGGGGGCTCCTCTCATGTAGGCCTGCCGTGGCCTGCCTCGTCAATGGCAGAAAACCTAAGTAAGGAGGTTTTCAAAGCTGGAAGTACAGCGTCGGCGACTCCCATGGGTCATTAGGCCTCGTGGCAGCAGCCGGCGTGTCCCCCGTCTTTGACCCCGTCTTGAAACGGAGGCTCGGGCCTTGACGAGTTGCAAAAAGGGCTGAGGGTTGTATGAACTGTGGGCGGGCTGTATGCGCGTATACAAGCCTCCGAGCGAACATAGCTTTGACACTAACAGATGAGGCGTCACCACCCAAGGGCTTGCTGTTAAGGCATTGTGGGCATTCACACAGCTAGACGGCGGAGGCTTTGGTGTTGTACGGAGAGGCGGGGTCTGTCCCTGTCCGGTAGAGTCACGGGCACGGAGCACCGGACGGCGGGCTGCGTCATTGCGCGGGGAGCACCCATGGGAAAGATGGAGACTGAGGAGTACGTACCGTCTAGTGTGTGTGGCTGAAGCTGTAGACGCCACATCTCTACCCCACTAGGCAACGGTGCGGCCATCTCTTACCAAGGGTATCGTTTCTTGCTTTTTTCTATTTTCCACCCGTCGTCTCTGGATGTTCCATGATGATTGATTCAATCTGGTCTCGGCCGTCTGCGTCAAGCTGTAGATGTAGGTATGGATGGACGAAGATGGTTCTTTCTTTTGCTGCCCAGTCGCATCTCGGTATCGCAATGTCGTCCACTGAGCATCAGACAGCGGGCGGGTGGCTGGCGGTGGTGTATTGCGCGCGTGCTTATCGAGTGGACGCGCAAGCTTTCGGCGACAGGCTGTGCCATCTTACCCGATAGCTTTGTATTGATTGACGTGAAAGTATCGAGGACAGCTGCAAATGGTTCATAGCCATTGTCGTCGTCACCATGCGTGTACCGAAATTCGCCATGTCCGCTAAAGAATCCCCATGTGTACGAAATGGCGTTTGTCTTATCTTTCATTGATGATAGCCATTGGCCCGTGGTACTTTGGTCCTATGCGAGCAACGATGCTTTGCTGTGTTGTAGTAGGTAGGTCTCATATGATTCCTGCATGTATGCTGTTGCCTGGCGATTCCGCTTTGCGTAGTCGGTAGACGACTCGAAAGTGTATCCAAGGATATTCCCACAGGGCGACGTCTTGCCAGGGCCAGTCAATGAGCATGGTGGAATTGCCGCTGGCTCTTTGCCGCAGGTGTCTGTCTTCCTACCACGCCTTCAGCGCTCTACAGACTGCGAGAGAGCTTCTGGTGGCAGCTGCGGTACCCTGTCCGCGTAACTCGAGGTGCTTGTGCCGCGCCGGGTCTGCGTCCAGGGGCCCACTTGGTCGTGCCGCAGCGGAGAGGCGATGGTACGGAGTTGGTGGTGAAGCAAGGCGGATGGTGTTGAGGGTTGGTCCCATGCGTGCATGCCTTGCTGAAAACACAGCATTAGAGATTCGAGGCAGCATTGGTAGGTGCTGAGGAGCATTTGTCCCAACTCTTGAGGCGTTCCATTGGTGTCTCTTCTATCTAGTCAAGTGACGTGCGAGATAAACCTGTCGGGTCCCATTTCTAAACGTCGAAGTGCAGTGATGGGGAGGAGGTCGGCGGGAAGAGTCTCTAGGTACGCAGTAGAAGAGATGGGGAATCCAGGACGAAAAAAGATGCCCAGTCAGCAGTACGTACCGTAATACGAAGCACCTACCTTCCAGAGTACCTTACCTCTTTAGGTACCTCAAGCTTGGAAGGAGGTGGTGGGGGATCTTGGGAGGAGCGAAACCTGAAAGTGTAAGGCGCACCGCCACTTGTGCATGCCCGCAACCCGCCAGCGTTGCGCCGTGTAAGGTACTTGCGTTCCGACGGGTTGCGTGGGCTTTCTCCGTTACGACGGTGCTGAGGTGTACGAATACCTTACAGTGCAGTGATGTTCCTGGTGTATTTGTCCAGTATCTGTACCAGCACAGGTACTTTACCAGGGCCACTGCTTGCCCGTTGCCGCCGCAGCTGCTGCAGGCTGGTCTTGGCTTCCATTGAGGTGCTCTTTTGGCTTCCCAGCAAGTTCCGTTCCAAGGTTCCTCGGACTCTCTTTCCTGCAACCTCCAGACATTTGGCTTCATCCTTTTCGGCAGCCCGACATTCACAGCATTCGGGATACACCGGGCTTCAAGAGCCTGCCGTTTGATTACCTATTCTACCTAACGGTTCCGGGATTGCCGTTGGTCGATTGTCTCTCGTTGGTTGCTGATTGCCTCCAGTGCAATAATTGAGAGGTTTCTATTCACAGCCCACTACGAATGACGACACCCACTGGAGCTTCAATCTCACCTTCACCCACGCCCTCATTCTCGCCCAGCCGCTTGCCGAACATCCTCAACCACACCTGCAGCTCTCCCAGCAGCGGATTTCCCCCCAAACCGAAGACTTTCTAATTTCGCATTGCTTCCATTTGCTTGCGACGAACGACAGCCCCCCTCACGAATTCATTCCGTTACGACCACCCAAGTCCGAGACCTCGGGACCCTCGTCGACATGGTTACTCGCAAGCCCGTTCCCAACGAGACCTCCCTCGACACCAACGCTGCTGCTCCACGAGTGGAAGACATGCGGAAGGAGCTCTGGAGCGCAACCGATTCTCCTTCCGACGTAGACAGTGTTTGGGACGATGCTCCGCAGCAAAGGGGCGCCGCTGCTCTGAACCAACAAACGATACCCCAAGACATTCCCGAATCTCTGAAGCCTGGCGGGGTCACGGCACAGGCCCCCGAGATGACCAACGGAGGATGGAATGACGTTGACGGCCATCCACCTCAAACCGCCGGCGAGACAAGAAGCGAGTCCAACGAGATCCCACTGGTATTACGGCCAGGAGCGCCACCTTCACGATCCGACACGAACCCGTTCAAGCGCAAGGAAGTCCGCGACGACTCAAATCCAACATCACCGCCCACCATTGGGACCCCGACGATGCCCCCGGCGCAGCCACTCTCGCAGATGAGCACCGGCGAGATCAGTAATAATCCATGGCAACCTGCCCTCGACCAGCATGCGCAGAGAGCTGCCGCCGCCAGCGCCCAGCAGTCTTTGCGTACTCAAAATAGCGGAGAGTCTGAGCGCGATGCATGGGCTGCAACACAAGAGCCAAAATTGCCCGCTATTTCGACATCTCCAGCACTGCTATCGCTCCCCTCAGAACCTACCTCACCGGCATGGGACGACTTGCCGGAGAATCAGAGCAAGAAACCACTAGAATTGCCAGTGGCATCGATTCCCAACGATGCCGCTGCAGACCAGGATGCCTGGAACGACGAAGGCGGACAGAACAAGGGCAAGGGAAAGGCTCCTGCCCCCGCGCCCGTTGTCCTTCCTCCTCCCACAGTCGAAGATGGGCCCATGGATGATTGGAACCTCATCGACGTCGAGCCGCCCGCTGGCCCTCCGCCGGGCAGATCGCAATTGCCAGACCAATCGCGCGATAGGCCCGATCAGGTCTCTGACGACAAAGTAGCGCCAGCATTGCCTCCTCGGAACGACGACGAAGAGCAACCTCCGCGCCAACCCCCACGCCCTGTGGACGGCAAGGCCGAAACATACCAGATCAAGAACGTCCGTTGGCACGATCATAGTACTGACAAGAACCCGCGAGTTTCGCCGATCCTCGTACAGAATGCCAACGGCCCCTGCCCTCTTCTTGCTTTGGTTAACGCGCTCACACTCACAACTCCGTCATCTCTATCAGAAACGGCCTTGATAGAGGTCCTCCGCTCTCGAGAGCAAATCAGTCTCGGGTACTTACTGGACGCTGTCGTCGACGAGCTGATGAGGCGAACGCAAGAAGCTTTGCCTGATGTATCCCAGTTGTATACCTTTCTGAAGGGTCTTCATACGGGAATGAACGTAAACCCACGTTTTGTTCCCACACCTGAAATCATCAAGGCCTTCAAGCGCACTTCCTTGACTCACTTGCACCCTACCGAACGCGACGATTTGATTCCCGGAACCTTCGAAGACACCCGAGAGATGGCACTCTATGCTGCTTTCGCCATCCCGCTTATCCATGGGTGGCTGCCCACTAAGAATGATCCGGCCTACCCTGCTTTTGAGCGCCAGGCGGCCTCATTTGAAGACGTACAGACGCTCCTCTTCCGAGACGAGGAGCTGCAGGAAAAGCTAGGAGAATTGACGGAAGAGGAGGAGCGGATATACTCAGACATACAGTCAATAAAGGCGTTTCTGGAGACTTCAGCTACGCAGTTGACGCCATCTGGACTTGAGGTTATCACGAAGGCCATGAAGCCCGGCTCTTTTGCCATCCTGTTTAGAAACGACCACTTTTCAACACTGTACCGGCACCCTGCGACACAGCAGCTCCTGGTCCTCGTCACCGACGCAGGATACGCCACCCACGACGAGATTGTTTGGGAATCCCTAGCCGACGTGAATGGCGAGCGCACGGAATACTATTCTGGTGATTTCAGAATCGTGGGCGGGGAGCAACCGCAAGGGAATTCTATGGGACAACCTACCTCGAGAAACAATGCCCAAAATCTACCGAGAATCGACACGAGTAGCGCCAATGAGGGAGGCTGGACTACTGTGCCCGGCCGCGGCAACAAGCACCTCGAGGCTCCGGCGCAAGGTGATGAAATGCCCCTGTCACCGAATCATGAGCAGGAGGATCGAGATCTCGCCCTCGCACTTCAGTTGCAGGAAGAGGAGGAACAACGCCATCGGGCAGAGCAGTCGGCTCGTCGGCGCGAGAGTCAGCTTAGCGAGCAGTATATCGAGCAACAAGCGCGACTGCAACAAGGGCCCACGACTAGACGTGCAGCCGATAGGCAGGCTGCCCGAACCGGTACCAGCGCACGCAGCAACAGCAATGGCAACTCAACTGCTTCTCGCGGCAGCCGTCGAAACTCTAGCACCAACGTTAGCGGTGCTGCGGTACCGCCCACGTCGGGCCGGCAGCCTGGGCAACCGCCTCAGATGGTGCGACCACTGGTTCCGCCGACGGTTCCTGCTCGTCGACAAGGCGTGAATCGGCCGGCTGACGAAGGCATGGATGATGCCCCGCCGACGTATGAGCAGGCGCAGGCGGCTGCCAAGTACGAACCACCTCCTGGACACCCTCATCATCATGCAAGCAGTCCTGTCAATCGACAAGGCAACGGGGGTGCTGGGCCGTCATTCCCGCTGTCTCCCTCGCGGCCAGGCATGGGCGGCGGTCGTGGGCGCGTACTGGGACCTGGCGGCGTTGTAGGAAGTTCGCAAGGAGGAAGGGAAAGGGATTGCATCGTAATGTGAGCGGAAGAAGCTTTGGTGCTTTTTATGATTGCGGCGTTTTCGTGTCATTTGAATTCTTGTGCAGAGCATGGACAGACTTCGACTCTGACAAGCAGGGTTGACAGAGCTTTTTGCTGCACAAACATTTCCTCTCAGCGGGCGGCGTTGGAAATTGTGGCTTTATAGGATTGATAGCTGATGAATGGAAGAAGAAGCATGATCATGTGGCTTACGCTGAAGACTTGAAGTTTTGGGAAGTACGTCAAGAAAATAGTGAGCTCTAGTTTTTGACATCTTCCTCAAGCTGTGGTGGAGGCTGCAAGGGGTAGCTGTAGCTGTACAGTACGGGATGCTCAGGGGAACCTCCCCGATTTGCAGAGGAGCTCTGGAAACCCCACCATTCGCTAAGGCTAATGGGGAAAGCGGTCTGGCAAGCCGTGGCTTCAACGCGTCGCAGGACCGAGACCCGGAGCTCCCGCCGTCAATTCTACCCAAGCTGCTTGATGTCATTGATTTTGTGTCGCACTTTCCACGTACAACATACGGTGGGGGACTTGAGAAGGAGGGAAAGCGCACCACACCACGATATCTCTCTAGGATTTTCTTGACTAATTCTACCTTACTCTCTGCTACTCTCTGCTACTCTCTTTCCTCTAGTTCTCTGCAATTGGATCGTCCCATACTAGTCGGGAAGAAGAGCCGAACATGTCCCTGATTGAGGGGTGGCTCCCGCCGACGCGGGAGAACTGGGAGACCATCACGACCGTGTGGCAACTTTCCTGGCCAGTGGTATGCAACGACAACTCCTTTGAGCCATTTGGTCAAAACACCTGTGACTAAACTTCTGCTGACTTCTCAATGTTTGCATAGTTTGGCTCTCTGCAGTATGTCATTAACTGGTACGGCATGGGCAAGACCTCGGTTACGAGCCGCCTCAACATCCCCGGCCGCTTGGCGTGGTTCCTGATGGAGATTCCGGGCGTCACAACGTTGTTGTACATCATGAACACCCTGCCGCGACAGGTCGGCATTGACGATCTACCGTGGCAGAATAAAGTGCTCGCTGGGTTATTCGTATGCTCCCCCCCTCCCCCCTCCTAAATGCCTTCTACCAGACCAAGGCAGACTGACAATTGAGCGATGGTGCCACTACAGACCATTCACTACGCCTACCGCGCCGTCCTATTTCCGATCCTCCAACCCTCAATGTCCCCAATCCACGTCGTCGTTTCCTCCTCAGCCGTCCTCTTCCAGCTCATGAACGCGACCTGCCTGGGAAGCTACCTAGCCGCCTACGGCCCGACCACAGCCTCAGCATGGGACTCTGCCCTCGGCCGTGGCGGTATCGCGCAGTTTGTGGCGGGCATTGCCGTCTTCTACGTCGGGTTGACGCTGAACTACTTCCACGACGAGGAGCTGCGCGAGATCCGAAGGACGGAGCAGCGGCGTCAGGCCAAGATTGCAAAGCAGCAGAAGCTGGAGGGTAGTACGGATAAGGTAAAGGGCGTGAATAAGCATTATCGGTTGCCTGACACGATGCTGTTTCGGTATATGCTGTACCCGCATTACTTTTGCGAGTGGGTGGAGTGGTTTGGGTTCTGGATGGCGAGCGGGTGGAGCATACCTGGAAGGGCGTTCTTCTTGAATGAGATTTTCGTCATGTTTCCGAGGGCGAGGAGCGGGAGGCGGTGGTATGTTGGGCAGTTTGGGGAGGAGAAGGTTGGGAAGAAGTGGACTATTATTCCGGGGGTTTACTGAGTGTCTGGCTATTGGATAACTTACCTCAATGTGTAGATTCGCCTGAAGGGCTGTAGATGCTGCTCAACACTTTTGCTATTACTTATACCCAATGGTATCTCCGAACAATGGCCATGTCAACCTTTTCGACGACCAGCGCGGGTCAAATTTCTGCATCTCTTACTCTCAAGGTACCCATCTTCTATTTACCCGAATGGCAGCTCGCAAGCATGTCCTTTTCTCTCAAGCCAAAGAGGTGCTTTCGGAGAAACACTTACTTGATATTATTCTAAGCTGGTTCCCTCGAGAATGATTCCAACTGAAATCTTACTCCATGCCTCTAGACACGACAGTCCAAGTATCTATTCAAAGACGTTGACGCAAATTCGACACGCCCGAGGCTTTTTACAATGTCTATCAACCAACTTTCCACCGAGACTCTGCTGCTCATCTTCGGTCACCTTGTTGACGAGCTTCCCCCCTTTCCAGGCGACGATGTTAAAGTGTTGGAGTATAAACAAGCGTCATCGCGCCACGTGGTACATTACCGGAAATCTGTAGCCCTCAAAGAGCATCTCAATCCCGAGGACCCACGGAGTAGAAACGACATACTCAACCTGGCGCGGGTCAACGGCCGATTCTCAGACATCTGTGCCGAAATTCTCTACAAACGTATCGTCGTTATGGATGATAGGGGGTCGGTGAACTCACGCAAGCTACAAACCACACTGGCCTCGTCCGGAGCCAAGCTCCAGCAAAGGGTTATACAACTACGAATAGACTATGATCGCATCTACGGAGTGTGGTTAAGTGTGCCACCAAGACTATTCGACCCCTCCGGATTAACCCAATTGAGGACACTCGAGCTCTCCGGCGACGTAGGACGCTATAGATGGCTATACCCACGGCCCCCGGCCCACTGGTTCAGCGCCATCCCCAAGCTTCCCGGTCTCGAGCGTCTGGTCTTGAGACACCTGGACGATGTAGTCTCCCACTTCGTAGGGGCCCACATGCCCGCCTTGCCACGGGTCACGGATTTGTGTCTCTACAGATGCGATACTTACACAAGCGGCTCCTATAGCCAAAATGACATGTTCCAGTGCTTCCCGGCGCTGCGCACTCTTACTATCGGAGGGTGGTGGGAGATAGAGCTCCCGCATGACGCCCAAGCCTTTGCACCATTTGCGGACACGTTGGAGACGTTTACTTGGTGTATTACCCCATCGACCTGGCGGACGAGGAACCTCTCAACGTCGGCTTTCCCTCTGCAGGCGCGTGGGCTCAGGGCGGTGAAGCACCTCAAGGTGACGAGTCTGCTAGAGCTCATGTGCGGCGAAACCGACGGCTGCGCGGCGGGAAAGACTGTTGAGACGATTGAGCTTCTCGATGGCAGATTTGACCTGAGACATGTGCCTCAGCTGCTGACGAAAAATGGGAGATGGAATGGACTCAATAAATCTGCTTGGCCAAGGTCTAGACCATATCCTTCGCCATATGATAAGCCAGTCTCGGAGGAGCCGATTTCGGAAGAGATGGAGATGCTGCTCAAGTTCCTGTTCGGACAATGTCGGGATGTGTATAGGCAGGTCAGAGTTCTTGACATTCGGGTTATTGATGATAATGATGACACGTATAGAACGGAGGAAGAGAGAGACTTCTTGCGCAAGCTTGCACTGGATTATGTCGGGATTTTCAAAGAGGAACTTGACGTCGTCTTATTGCAGGGTTTGTCTGGTTGAAGGATTCGAGGAAACGCCTAGATGAGGATATGTAGTGGCTGCCATGGACGCTGTATTTGGTTCGACAACAGATACCTGTATCAAGGATGACATCCGAAGAGCACAATTTACCAAATCTATGCACATGAGACGTGGGTGAATAGTGGGCTTGCTTGCGATTGAGAACAACGGTCGAGATGGCTTTCCAAGGTAGACGCGTTCTAAGCCCTCAAGGTTACCATCTAGTCTGGGCAAAGACGACGCCCCTGCCAACTACAATAGAGATCAACTGCGATCAAAGGGCACCAGTGCTCAGTAGTCGAAGAACTGTACCTTGGTATCTAGAAATAACCGGAGTTCCTCTTCAGGGTGCAGGGCCGCCGCAGGCAACCTCCGCAACTATGTATGTTTCGGAAAGAGCTTAGTATCGCTTACCTTGAGAGTTGAGTCAAAGTATGTTGCTGCATTGTACTCATATTTCCAGATATAAAGACATGAATATCCTCCTGAAGGTTGGAATAGAGACACACATATCTTATTGAAGGTCGACATAGAGCCAACCATTTGCAATAGGACAGTCAAACCACCGATCTCGAGACACATCATCGAGATGTAATCTTCTCATTCACACCCGGGGAGCTAGAATACCTTGTCAGATAAAATGTTTCCGGCCACGTTGACTTCTCTGCCATATGAGCTGCTGCTCATCATTGCCGAGAAGCTTGTCGAGGACGACCTTTTCCCTAGTTACAAGACCGAGTGTACATATGAGACTTCGACCCAACAACAAGATCGATACTGGAGAATTTCGCACCAGTTCGGGAACTCCTATCCGCTCGAACACGACGAGATGCCATATACACCGGACAATGGAGCGGGCCTCGTCAGTCTAGCGAAAGCCGGGAATCGGCGGCTGTCAGGAGCTTGTTACGAGGTTCTCTACAAGAACCCTATTTCTGGGCGAGGCTTCCTTGGCTTTTGGGATACTCTGGAATGCATCAACCCAACATACCAGAACGAAATGCAACACCTAAAAATGTTTAAGAGCCACAATGATGGACTTGAATGGGATTGCATGCTGAGAAAGGGCCTATTTGCATAAAAAGATTCCACCTGCAGCGACTTTGCCAAGACAGTCTCGTGGAAGCTACAAGGCTTGAAGAGCCTCGATATCTCCTGCAGTGCATCATACAGCATACGGGTTTGGATTCCAATGCTGTCGTCTCTCCCTTCGTTGAAGCACTTGGCACTGAGAGATTGTATCAGACTCGAGGGAGACAGTTTCCCTCATCTCCCCTCACTTGTCGAGGCGCACTTTTACCATTGCGAGTTACCCGAAAACGAAATTTTCGAACGTAGACCTTCGCTCAAAGTGCTCGTCATCGACAATGACTACTGCCTTGAGGATGAGGATACAGAAGTCTGCGATGTAAACCCTCTTGCCGATACCGTCGAGACATGTGGCTGGCTCGTCGAAGAGCCTGCACCCTTTTATTATCCTCTACGCCAGTTTCGGCGGGTGAAGCATCTCAAGGTGGACCTGATTCATGATCTTTTCGGAGCACTCCCATACGAGATAATTCCGAGCTACGACGGTCTTCCGAACCTTGCGGCGACTGTCGAGACCATTGAGTTCACCTCGCGAATAACCTCGCGTGTAACCGGTGGAGACCCGAATGCACATGCCCTGTACTATAGGAATTGGCAGAAGAGTATGGAAGAGCTTCGGTACACCATAAATATGATGGAGGAGTGTTGTCGGAAAGAATGGCGGAAGGTTCGGCTTATTGACATTAGCATGCTCGCTCTTTCCTACCGTCGCGAGCGTTCAGGTTATGATGTTAGGCCCACACGGGATAGTATCAAGGCCGAAGGTCTCCAGCTTCTCGAGTGTGCCAAAAGGCGCTTTCAGCAGGAGCTTGGTATTGAGTTGTTGATTTTATAAGGCTAAAGGGCTTTCGACTGCTATATTATCGATCAGAAAGGCTGGGCGAACGATGTCTCGTGCACATCATGGACGGGCGACGTTGTAGTGGAAGGAGAGGAATCTCGAATAAAACAACAGCCCCGAAATCAGGCGACACAAAAAAATTATGCTTAAGACTCAGAGACGACAATAGAGAAATTTGCAGTCATTGCGTCACTTCAAAAGCAAGGACGCAACAAGTGCCGCGATTTCTCTCCCTATCAAGAAAGATGCCAACCTCGAATTCAACGCTTCCATGCGAATCCTTGAGAACAACCAGGCTGAGCTTCATCGTCAGACATCGGACGTAAAATGCAAAATGCGCGTGAGAAACTGCCTTGCCGATTACTACATGTGGTAGACTATCGAATGACGCGTGGAAACGAGAAGCGAGGCCGCTGGAGGACACCGACATGTTTCATGACAAACACCAAAGAACGAGTCTAATCAGAATCAAGGGGCCAATCCTGACCTGCTACAAACTCTAAGCTAGTCACGCAGAGCTGGCCTTGCAGTTTTACCCCAACATTTATAAGACGTCGAGGAATCGCAGCGGCGTCTCGAACCGGGGAAACGAAATTTCAAATCCCCGCATCCCAGGACTTGATCGTCTCCAACCGAAAAACAAATTCGCTTTTAACAATGCATTTGACATATCCCGACCTCGTGCGACGGCTCTACGACCTGGAACGTCTTGCCGAATCCCCGTTGCCCGGAGAGCGCGGCGGGTGTATGTCGAGCTATGACCGGGCCTCACGCTATGACCCAAAGGAAGACAAGTACATTGACTGGGACGCCAACGACGATGGGCGAGGCATCATCCGCGAAGAAGGCGAGTGGATAGTCGCCTTTGAGCGGCGGGGTCCAGGAGTCATCTGGCGGACGTGGTCCGCGATGCCAGATGTCGGCCGTATCCAGATCTTCATTGACGACGAGCACAATGACAAGCCTGTCGTGGACATGCCCTTCCGGGACCTTTTCGATCGGTTTCAAGGGATGCCACACAATTTTCCCTCGATAACTCCGACTCTGTCAAGAGGACGTAACTGCTTCATTCCCATTCCGTACAACAAGTATGCCAAGATCCGCCTCGGGCCAGGCTGGGGAGCGTACTATCATTTCACTTACACCTCATTTCCCAAACACACTACGCTTCCGCACTTTGATGGCAACTTCGATCGGGAGGCTTGTCTGGCATTGGCCGCAGCTGACCGCGAACTGAGTCAACGTGGTTGGTCCGCACTGCCTCGGTCAAAGGGCGACACGATGGAAACATTGACTGTCACCATCAAACCGGGCAAGAGCCATACTGTTCGGGAGCTGACGGGCAACCGAGCAATCACTGGCATGCGTGTGGTACCGTTGGACCTAGTCCAGGACTCTCATCACGTCGCCCAGATTCTCCGGGAGCTCGCTATCCAGATAACATGGGATCATGACAAGTCTCCAAGTGTCTGGGCACCATTGGGTGACTTCTTTGGTAGCGTTCCTGGCATCCAGACCTACCGTTCCCTGCCTCAGGGCTCGACAGACGGGGGTGGATTCTACAGTCACTGGTTCATGCCATTCTCCGATTGTGCTGAGATCAAGCTGGTCAATGATGGCAAGAAGGAGCAAAAGCTATTCTTCACCATCTGCCACCGCCCACTGGAAAAGTCTGCGAAGCACATGCTTCGGTTCCACGCCAAGTGGCACCGAGATGTTTTCCTCGAGAAGCCGAAGAAAGAGGGCCGCGAGATCGACTGGCCTTTGTTAATGTTAGATAACGGCCCTGGAAGATTCTGCGGCGTGCAGATGCACGTGTGGAACCGCTGGAAAGATCCCAAGGTCCCATCAAAGGACTGGTGGTACGGCGTCGGCGGCGACAAGTCGATTGACTGGTGGTGGGGCGAGGGGGACGAGAAGTTCTTCGTCGACGGCGAAAAGTTCCCGTCAACCTTTGGCACCGGTTCAGAAGATTATGTGGGCTACGCGTGGGCGGCCGAACCGCCATTTCCGACTTTCGACAGCGCTTATGCCTGCCAACCTTACATTGAGCTGGATGCCAACGGGCACACATCAGTCTGTCGCTTCCACGTGTGCGATGACGTGCCTTTTCACAAAAGCTTCGAGGCCTACATTGAGAAGTATAAGCCCAATGACTGGGGCTCAGGCAACAAATGTCTATACGCAGTGGTTGCTTACTGGTATCAGAAGGCTGGGGGCCATGATGCGTACGAGAGCGTGTCAGTAAAGGAGCGCTATCTCCAAAGAAAGGAGAACTCCGAGCGAGTCGGTGACGGAGGTGAGACAGAGTTATGAAATCATATCGGATCATGTAGTTAAGTGCGCAGTCTCTAATTGATGATACGAGCTGTAGGCAGTTAAGAGTGGATTACGACGCTGCTCTCTTCCAGTTGCAGAATTATTCTTAGTGTCACGCAAACTCTGGAGTTAATTTCTTCAGACTTTGTTATGCCCACATGCCAGTCGAATGTGAGTGGACCATTGGGTGCAGTGCGTCAAGGGTCACCGGCGCAAACCGAACAGCGAGCAGAAACTCAAACCCAGGGAAATTGAATGGCCGCTGTCGGCACTTTATAAGTAACAGATTGAAGATGAGCACACCTTCGCTCTCGTTTCTCACGTCATCAAATTTCCGCGTAAGCCTTTCTGCATCATGTCACTAAACAATTCTTGACTCCACTGATACGACCACACAACCAAAGCTGCGTCGTAGTTATCTCGCTGCCAATACGGAACGGTTGAGATGACTTACAAGATGATAGCAGACACCTCACCGATGATGGGTTTCATCAATCCTCCGTTCCATCCACACCAGGCTGCCAGGCTGGGAAACCGAGCGTCACTAGCATGGGTGTGCTTGTTTGCGGGGACCAAGTACCAGACAAGCTTTCCGGCGGGAGGGCAAGTGGACGCTTGAGTGACGGGGTAGCCGCGCGGAGATGGGGCGTTCTGAAGCTTAGCAGCCCCGCAAGAATGTACTAAAAGCAACCCGGTAGGGCAAAGGGATGCGACGCAACATGGGGGGACCCTGAGTATCACCACGGACTGTCAATTTCAGTCGTAGATAGTTCCGATGGTCCAGCAGCTCATGACAAGTGGCAATGGGGAAAGATATTTCTCGTGTGGGGGAGACGCAATCACGGCTAACAGAGACCGGTCCAAACGGCTTCTACGGAATGCGAGCGTTTCAGCGGCAAAGTTAATATCATGAGTTGAACCCCAGCAACTCACATTTTCGAAACAGTCAATGTCTATCGGCATCTCTGATGAACTGACGATAAGGCATAGCCCCTCCGACATAGACTATCGACCCTGGACTAGAAATCGGGCAAGCATTTGTAAGTTGATAGGCGGACCATGCCACGGAAAACCTACGGGCCCGGTGGGTGTAGAACAGAAATGTTGGCGGCTATTGTATAAAGTGGAAGAGAACGCCATCCCAACCAGTGGCGGGCAGTCAACTTTTGGGGGATAGCTTTCATGGGATGCAACCTCTGTGTGGGAGGATAATGGACGACGGCACACCATGATATTGACGAAGCCATTTTCTACGTCAGCCAGAGAGGCTCGGTGGCTGTACTTGAGCTGTCTGAGTGGCATTGTGATTTTGGTGGTGTTCTTCAGCCATACCTTGTGGCCACATTTCGACATTCACTCTTTCGACTTATCTGGAGAAAGGACTGGAACGCAAACAAGTCATGCAAATTCATATGATCAACATGGCGCAAGTAACGAACAAGATGAGGTTCATTACCTTGGATCAAAAAAGAATGAGACATCAGAGTCACAGAGGTTACAAGAGTTGAAGTATGCCGTCATTCTTCCGACATATGTAAGTTCCGGTTATTGGTGGTGAAGAGATCATAGTTGCTAATCGAACGTAGAGCGGACACATGCCTCTTGCGATGGAGTTCCTGCAGTCTTACATGTGCCTTTGTACAGACCAGTCGAAAATTGATTTTCACGTCATCGTTTCGGATTCGAATGAGGTCGTAATGTTCCAAGATGCGATGAAGAAGTTGAAGTCCTGTGGGCCAACTTACAGTATTTTCCCGACGCCAGAGATGAACATCAACGGGCCGAAACCGAAAATCAACATCGTCAACTTGTTCGACATCCTACCCCCGGTCTTTCACTCCATGACGACCGGGAAAATCACGGGCGATGATACGTCGGCACTTCTAAAAGAACGTGGAAAATACCAATACCAGACAATCAAGAAGATGTCGGCAGCGCTGGAGCTCGAGTACGACTACGCGCTCTGGCTGGACTCTGAGGCTATCGCCGTGCAGCCGTTCAGTATGCGCCAAACCTTTGATGCCTACGTCAAGGACCCCACGATTTGGAGGTCGAGAATGACCAATGACGACTTCATGCGGAGACTCATCGGCGCCGCGGCAAACGTTCTGGATCGATCGATGGACTCATTCGGACCCGCCTTTTGGAACCTGGAGAGTGTGGAATGGATTGTCGAGAAGAACATGATCAAGGACCTGGTTCAGTATGTTGAAAAGGTCCACAAGCAAGACTTTTGGACTGCATGGATGACGCATGGTGGACCATTCGAGGTGAACCTTCTCAATATGCATATCCAAGCACGCAAGTTGGAGACGACGGACCCCCTATTCACCAAATACCGGATCGTCGAGACTGAACGAGAGATGCAGAAGTACGGCATGAGTAAGTCATACATTCCATCCATACCCCAACCAGCTATCATCTATGACTGAGGACTGATCATTTTAAAAGTTGAACCAGCAAAAGCCGTGATTGACGCCATGACAGGAACTGGCCTCCTAGAGAGGGGCTACAAGTTGTTGGCAGTCCCAGAAATAGTACCAAACTTTTCATCCATGCTACGCGAAAACGGTCAGAGTCTCTTTCGACTCGATGATCTCGATGTTGGTCCACCAGAAGCTATCGATCGATTTCTGTTGGAGACGCCAATAAACATCATATGCTCGGGAGCTCCACCGTTGCATAGTTGGTGGGAAGAGCGGAAGAAAAGCATTTAGATAGCGAGTTTTGATCAATAATACCCCATTTGTTTTATTATTTCAGTTCCATCTTCATCAGGTTGAGCTATGAACCCATGACTCTGTCCAAAGAGACCTCTCAGAATACACATTATTCACGATAGCATCACGCCCGCTACAAGAGACGAGAGGCAAGTGCTCTGTGATGCTCCTCATTCCTCAGCCTAGCACCTCAAAGTAACGCGAGACACATGGCCAACAGTGCTATTGCCAGATGAAGCAGCGCCCGTCACGTACAACACCTTGCGAGGGTGGTGCAGGTCCAGAGCTACCGAAGATGCAGCCCCAAGAAGGGGCGAGGAGGCAACAACGGTCTTTCCTCCGTGTACCAAATCGATTCCGAGAACCTCCAGAGGACCGTTTGTGGCAACATAGGCAGTCTTACCGTCTTTCGACAAGGCAAAATCATCACCAAAGGTGATGTTGGTGGCCAAAGTCTCCACGGGGCCAGTGGCCGTTCCGGTGGTGAGAGAGATGGGGACTCTGCCGAATAGGCCTTGGTCCAAGCTCACGAAATAGAGTTTGTTATCCCGGATGCGAATCCCGTTGACGGCGACACCGATGCTTGAACTCGAGGATGCCGGAGCCATCTCAGGCTCAGCAAGGACAGTCTCGACGACTTTGGTGTTCACGTTGAGTCGAAGGACGGTTCCACGGCCAGAATCGGACATGAGTAGGTTCTGGGTATCGTTCTTGGCCAAACGTGCCATGCCGTTGAGCTGAAGGGCGGACGGGATAAGTGTGACGAGCGAAAGCACAGCTGGCTGGAGCACAGTTCCGTTGTGCGAGGTGCGGAAGTTGCGGAGGTCGACTTTCCACAAGCCGTTCGAATTTTCGGTTGAGGTCAGGTTTGACCCGAGGACGTAGAAGACATCCTTCTCGCCGAGTTCGGTGATTCCGAGGAGACTGTTGACTCCGTCGATAGTGACGACAGGAACCGGCGCGTGTTTGCCTTCGGGCGACAGGTCGAAAAGGGTCGAAGAAGCCGTCGAGGTGACTAGAAGGTCTCCATTCTCTCGGACCGCAATGTTCTCGAGTGACTGTGTTCCGGGGACGGACTGCAATGTCGTGACCTCACTTGCGTTTCGCCAATCGCAACCGGTAGTAGGGGCCGATGAGGCTGGCGAGAATAGGAGAGCTGCCACTCCCAATAATTGGAAACCGAATAGCCGCGACGCCATTATGTTGATCAATTAAGAATAGAATGAGAGTACGGTATCGAAACGAGCGACATTAGCAAAAGAAGAATGGAAATGTTTCGGCTTGCAGAAGTACCATATTTCAAGCCTTCCCGACTTTGATGGAGTTGGAGATAGTACTACTATTACCGAAGCTGTCAGCGCGAAAAGGGAGTTAGTTAATTACAAAGTGGATGGCCAAGACCCACTGCGGAAGAGTGACATCAGTCAGCTGCTTATTCGTTGATCACGTCAAATCGTGAATACAAGCTCCTACCCCTTGCAGGCATGACTCGGCCGAGTCGGTTCGGCAATGGCAGTGTACAAATGGATCTGAGATCCGGTATTCGTTTGAGGTGCTGCAGACAGAGAGTAGATGTCATATGTAATCGCTCATCAGATTGTAGAGACGAAGGCCAACTAAGTGGAAATTGAAGGCGTGGACTGAGAGCGGAGGCACAGTTTTTCGAGACAGACGATTTGCCGGACTGATACTACTGAAAGACTTTCATCGGACCATGGGGTAGCCCAGGCTGTTCGTGAGTAAAAAAGATTGCGCTGTTGGTAGGGTACCGCTTTGCCGATGCTTTAGTAGGAAATGTTCCGGCGAAAGCCATCTTCTCCGACTTAGCGTCATCGAGGTGACGGGTTGTCAGCAGTATTGCTATGCGACTCATGCACTGACGAAGCTTCCAGACCGAATGCGACTTATACAAAGACTCTGGAGAGTTCACATCGGCTTGCCTAACATCCTTAAATCCAGGATCTCGGAGAGAAAATTTTTATTTCCGTGGAATAAAAAGTTGTTCATTGGCTCGAGCACAGTTTTGAAGTGTTTGGCAGAGTTTCGTGGCGCCATGTTGTGGGACGAAGATCATTGGATCCACGTTCTAGTTGTCAGCCAGTCGCATGTTATCGCCGTAACTCCGTCGCCATGTCGTTTTCGCTGCAGTTACGTCACTAGGAATGGACTCATCAACGCATCTTAAATGACCTCGCAGCCAAGATCTTGCTCTGCTGTTGATATGGTAAATCATTCTAATTTACGGAATCACGTCTAGAGCAACACTAATAAGACAACAACAATCAAAAGCGATCAAAATGGCCAAGACTTTCCAGTTTCAGGACATCCAAGTCAACTCGCCAGGCTTCGGCGCCATGGGTCTGAGTTTCGGCCTGGGAAGCAATTTGAGCTTAGAAGAAGCTGAACCTGTTCTCCTCAAGGCAATTGAGCTAGGATGCACATTCTGGGATACAGCGGTGAGTACATGTTAAGAGTCCAGCCCACGTGAGTCCACGTTGGGGGATTTCAGTATATAGAATCTAAGCTGAGGAGTAGAGGTTTCTGGAGCGGAGGTTCTGCGGAGGTTCTGCGGAGGAAAAGCGCTCAAGTGGGACCTCCGCGGAAGCGGCGCGGTGAGCCGTGGCAGTATCCGGGCTGAGGCTCGGATCCACTAATCGGGTCTAGCCCGTAACACGTGCCCCCCCACCTCGCTTCCGGAGCGAATCCGCTGCCGGTCCGTTTTTCGACCGCAGGTGCCCCGGGCGGTCGACCGCCCCACTTTAACCCGCCGGCTGGCCGCCCGCGGTCCCTTTTGTTGATTTCCGTTGGGCCCCCCCCCTTCGTGGAAAGCTTCCTCCTTCCAACCCTCACGCGACGATTCGTAAGTGCTCTGATCTATCTATTTCCGCGCTTCCGCCGCTCAAATTTCGCTAATCCATCGCAGAAATCCAATTTTTGACAAGCCCGCCGTCCCCGCCGTCGTTTTTTGTACGTATAATCTCCTCCTCGCGCTCGCGCGCCCGCGCGCGTTCGAAAACCCTCTTCTGACCCGGGAAATAGTCAAACAAATATTCCACACGCCGCCGCCGCCATGTCTTCTGTACGCTACTGCTCCGCGGCCTTCCAGCTTTCTGTCCGTTACTGACGCTTCGATAGTTCGTCCCCGTTAACCAGCCCGCCGCCGCCGCCGCGCCCGCCGAGCCCGTCGCCCCGTCCAATGACGAGGGTGGTGCGGATGGCAAGGAGTCAGAGTTCAGCTCTGACTCCGAGCTGTCGTCCGTCCACCTCTCCGAGGACGAGTCGGACGTCCAGATGGTACGTCAAACCTGCGCGGCGTATCCGTTCTCTATCCGCGAGGTCCGCTAACCTTACGTCCAGCCGACGCCCAGCAAGAAGGGCAAGGGAAAGAAGAAGGAGGAGGAGAAGAAGAAGGAGCGCAAGCCCAAGGAGGCTCCTGTGCCGGGCGCCCTGCGCGAGGTCCCCTGCCTCCCTTGTGTGCAGGCGCTGGCCAAGGGCAGCGATGCCCTGGCCGGCGTCGGCTGCCGCGACTGCCTCTGTACGCCAAGCCGCCGTTGTTTGCCCGTTTGCGGGTCGCTAATTCGTCGTGAAGCTGGAGGTACTACCCGCTGCGCCGCCTGCGCCGACGGCAAGGCCAACCGCCGCTGCGACCCCGTATGTTTGCCGCTATTGTTCCTTGTTTGCTCCGCGATTGCTGACCCATTGTTCTCAGCTCAACGACGCCACCAAGGCTGTTTGGGTGGAGTTCTCCTGGGTGGTCGAGGAGCACCACCGGCTGTCGGACCCCATTGCGGGCGACCCCGCCTTCGAGGCCGTCGTACGTCCGCTCGATGTCCGTTGTTTGTGCGTCGCTGACCGTTCTTCCTCCGTTGCTAGTGCAAGGACCTCATGGGTGCCTTTGGCCGTTTGCGTGTCGCCGCCGCCGCCCAGACCAAGGCCGAGAACAAGGAGGCCCGCGCCCGCCGCGACGCCCGCGCCGCGACCGCCTCCCCCGCCGCCAAGACGCCCGCCCCCCGCGCGACCCCCGCCAGCGCGACCCCCGCCGCCGCCCCTGCCGCCGCCCCTGCCGCTGAGGGCGCGGCCTTCTTCACTGTGGAGGAGGCCCGCGCCATCAGCGAGCACCACCAGGCCCTCGCCTCCCTCTACGCCGCCGTAGGTGCTTCTTTCGTACTCTCCTTCTCCGCGACTAATCCGTTTCTAGGCCGCGGCTCGTCACCAGCCTCCCCCCGCCTAGGCCGGGAAGGGTAGCCGGCCCTCGGTCTTTAGACCTTGGGCGGCCCCTTCTCGCGCCTACGGCATTGCCGTTAGCTTTGTGTTGCGCCCTGCGGGGCTGAATAGTCTTCTGGCCTGCGGGCCTTAACTTGGTTGCTTTTCTGCCTCCCACTTGATGCCCGTTTTCCTCCCGCTGTCGTGATTCGCGTGATTGCCGCGGGCTTCCGGCGCTTCTTGACTCTGTCTCGGTAGCTCGGGTCGCCGTCAGACTTCTCAGCGGGCCCATAGCGCAGTTCGAACTCCTTTAGGGCGTCCGTTAAGCGGAGTGAAGACAGGGGTTCCCATGTTAGCTCTTGGTAGCCCTCCCACTTGACGAGGACTTCCCTTCGCTGTCCGCGGCCTACGCGCTTCCACCGCGCTGCAAGCACTTCCTTGACTAACCAGTAGTCCCCGTCGTCTTCTTTGATCGGAGGGGGCCTCTCGTCCGTCCGCTGTTGGCCCGGCAAAGGGTCGTTCGCTGCACGCCGTAGTATACTGACGTGGAAATAGGGGTGAATATTACCGGGCACGTTGAGCCGCATGACGGTGGGTTTCGTGACCTCGACCACTTCGTACTTGTGGTGCAGCCAGTCTAACTTCTTGCTAGGTCTAGGGGACCTATAATTGCCCATGTGTAGCCACACCTTGTCGCCGACTTCGAAGCGCTCTGCCGGCGCTCTTCGTCCGTTAGCTGAGCGCTCCATCCGTTCCTGCGAAGCGGCCATGGCGGCCTGGGCGAACTTCGTTGCTTCCACGAGTTTCTGTACCGTGGAATCGGCTTTTACCTCCCGCTCGTTCGCCGCTTCTGGTACGCTTTCCCGAATCCTCAGGGGCTCGACGTTGTACCCGTGCTCTATGAAGAAAGGTGAGAGCTCTGTCGCTGAAGCTATTCGGTTGTTGAGGCTCAGTTGGGTGGCTGGCAGCTGGTCCTCCCAGTCATCTTGGGCGTATGCGATTGTACGTCGCAAGATTGCTTCGATCTCCTGGTTGAATCGTTCGGTTGACCCGTCGGTCTGCGGGTGAAAAGCGGTGCTCAGGCGCTGCTCTATCCCTGCTTTCGCGCAGAATCGGCGCCAGAACTTACTGGTCCAATTACTGCCGCGATCGCTCACGATAGACCGAGGCATTCCGTGGAATCGGAAGTGGCAGTTAATGAAGCGGTCTGCGCAGGCCTCTGCCTCCATGGATACCATCGGTTCGAGAGTAACGGACTTCACGAGGCGGTCGACTATTACCCATAGGAACCGGGCGCCGCTCTTTGACGATGGGGGGAGGTCGGTGATAAAGTCCATCGCTAGGTCGCTTTTTATCCGTTCCGGCACCGCGAGAGGCTGCAAGAGGCCGCGTTTGGCCTGCCGCCATATGGTACTCCCTCCGCAGGCATCGCAGTTTCGAACAAACCTCCTCACTGCGCTGGACTGGCCTGGCCAGTAGAACTGCCTGGACAGGACAGCCGCGGTGGCGTTTCTGCCGGGGTGGTTCGTCGCCGGAGATCCGTGGCAGCGCTGAATTATCTCCGTTCGGAGCGCGTTGTCGTTGTGGTCCGGGTCTTCGTGTCCAGGGACCCATAGTCTCTCTCGCCAGGTCAGTCTTGAGAGTGCGTCAATACCGCATTCCGCGATTTGCAGCTTGAGGCCCAACTCAGGGGGGAGCGCCCTAGCTCCGCTCGATACCGCCTCGTACACTTTGAGGTATTGCTTGTCCTTCGCTTTTGTCTCGTTCCATCGTCGCTGGAGCTCCGCGTCGTCTACGAAGACATCGGTCTCGGGTGGCTCGGGTGCTCTCACAGTTTCGGTTCGGCGGACCGCGCCGGTCGCCGGCCGGGCAGAGTCGGGAATCGCCTGAATGATCCTTCCCCTCTCTCTCTCGTCGTCCCAGCCGGTTGGGGCGTCTTGTTCGCGCCTAGAGAGCGCGTCTGGGGCGGCCGATAAACGGCCTGGGCGGTACTCGATCTTGAAGTGGTATTGCGAGAGTTGCTCTGCCCAACGGCTCTGGCGCTCGGTCAGCTTCTGCTTTTGCATAAAATACTCCAACCCTTTGTGGTCCGTGATGACCTTAAATCCGCGGGAGCTCCGCAGCTCCGCGTCCCACGCGCTCAAGCAGGACATCACAGCGAGGAGCTCCTTATCGTGGATTGGGTAGTTGTACTGGGCGGGCGTGAGCTTCTGCGAATGAAAAGCGACTGGTCGGCGTACGCCCGACGGATCCTCCTGCGCGAGGGAGCCTCCGAGCGCAAATCCGGAGCAATCGGTCTCGACGACTGTCGCTAGGTCAGGGTCGAAGCTTCGAAGTAGGGGCGCGGATACAAAACGCTCCTTGAGCGTCTCGAAGGCGGCGTCTTGCTCGGCCGTCCATTCGAACGGCGCCCCTTTCTTGGTCAGGGCGTTGAGGGGTTCGACAATGGCGGAGTAGTCACGTATGAACACGCGGTAGTAGTTGGCGAAGCCGAGGAAGCTTCTGACCCCTTTCACCGTCTTGGGCGCGAGCCACTCGCGAATAGTGCGCACTTTCTCCGGGTCGCACGCGATCCCTTGTCCCGCTTTGAGGATGAATCCAACGTACTTTACGGTTTGGACAGAGAACTCGCTTTTAGCTGGGTCGAGATTGAGGCCCGCCGCTGCGAGGACGCGCAATATCCGCCGTACCTTCTTCTCGTGGTCCGCTTTCGATCCGTTCGAGTATACCAGCACATCGTCCATATACGCAGAGGCGAAGTCGTCGAGGAATTCCCTCAGGGTCTGGTTCATATACCTCTGGAACATGGCGGGCGCCCCGGTTAGGCCGAACGGACAAACTATCCATTCGAAAAGGCCGTACCGCGTCCGAAAAGCGGTCTTTTCTTGATGCCCTTCGGCCACCCTGATCTTGTGGAAGGCCGCCACGACGTCTAGCTTTGTGAACCACTTCGCTGAACTGACTCTCTGGAGGGTTTCGTTGATTAACGGTAAGGGGTAGCGGTCCTTCCGCGTAATTGCGTTCAACGCTCTATAGTCGCAGCAAAAGCGCAGGCCGCCCCCTGGTTTCCTGACGAAGAGAACGGGGGCTCCGGCGGAGGAGCTGCTGGCTCGAATGAAGCCCTTGTCGAGCAGGTCTTTGAGGGTATTACGCAGCACCAGTAGCTCCGCGCGGGACATAGAATAGAGGGGGCCCCAGGGGAGGGGCGCTTCTTGTCCGTTAGACTGCCGCTCGAGGTCAATTGTAAGGTCGATTCCTGGCCGAGCCGGTGGAAGGGGGTATGCCTTGGATGGCTCGAAGAGGTCGCCGTATTCCTCCCTTACCCATTGCGGCAGCCGAGAGAAGTGGTCGGTCTCGCTCTTCGGCTTCAGGGCCTTGTCGATGTCGGCGAGGCTAATCGCCCGGATCCCCGCGGCGTACTCGCTCGGCCGGCGCTTTTCTTCCGTGGCGACTCTGCGACACAAGGCGGCGAAGGAGGGGGCTCCTAGGCTTCGTGCCTCGCGGATCTCTCGCACCATAGCGCCTTCTTCCTGTCCGCTGAGGTACGCTCTCACTCCGCCCTTTCCGTGCCAGATCCGCCGTTTGGCCGCATCGTATACGACGCGGTTCCGTTCCATCCAGGGTTTTCCAAGGAACACGTCCACGTCTAGGCCTTCGACGACATGCGCATACACCTTCTCCACATGGCCGCTAATCTCGAGGTCGAAGGCGACGACCCCTTTAGTCGTGGTTTGGGCGGACTTGTCCGCGAATCCGCGAAGTCTACGCTTCGTTCTGTCTACATACGGGAGGCGAAGACGGCGGGCCAGTTGGGAGTCTACCATGGAATACATATCACATCCGCAGTCCATTAGCGTTGGAGTCTCATGTATTTTATTAATCCTCGCGGTGAGCAGCGCCGAAGGCCCGCTCATAGTCCGTTGCTGGTTGAATGACTCCCATCCTGTCCGTTCTTCGTCCGTGGGCTCCGGTGCCCGATTTTGCGCCGGAGCTATTCTTTTCCCGAATGATATTCGTCGTCATCCGAGTTCACCTCCTCTACGCGGTGCTCCGCGGGCGCCGCCTGAGCTACGCGGGCTTCCCGCTTTTGCTTGCAGTTCCTCGCGATATGTCCGACCTTGTCACAGCTGAAGCAGCGCCGAGTCTCTGGCTTCGTTGGCAGCTTCGCTTCTCGCTCGGGCTTCGCAGCCCTTACGGCTCCAGTCATGGTCGTATCTCCGTCGCTATCGACGCGTTCTTTCGTCGCGCGATATCCTTTCTGCACCGGAATCCAGGGGTTGCGCTGGTCGAAGTCGTAGCCCTCCATATTGCCGGCCACTGCCTGGACGCTGTGGAGGAAGCCGGTGTACGACGACTTATCCTGAGGCGCAGCGATCATGTGTTCTCTTAATCGCGGAGCTAAAGCGCGGGTGAGGTATTGGATCGTGACGTCCGCGGGCCACTTCCAGCCTCCGGCGTTGGCCAGGGTTTTCTCGAATCGGGGTAGGAATGCCGCGAACTTCTCGCCCTTCCTCATAGTCATCGTCGATAGTTCGTTGAGGGCGTTCCTGGCCTGATGAGGGTCGCTATATGCCTGCGAAAGGTACGCGAGGAGTTCGTCGGACCCTCGTTTCCCGTCTTTCCCTCCCTCGCGATAGAACTGGCTCACCACTTTCTGGACCCGAGGGGCGAGGCACGAGAAGATGAGGTATCTCCGTTCTTCGTCGGTGCGGTAAAATGGCGCATCGATAACGAGCTTGTCGCGCATCTGGGCTTCCCAGACACTATATTCGTCCTTGTCGCCCGAGAACTTCGCCGGGTCCGGTAGGGGCTTCCTGCGGGGGGCTCCGTCGTCGAAGGGCGCCTCTGGGCTAGCGGGGGTTCCGCGGAGGTCGGGTTCTTCGATGGGAAGCGCGGGGGGTCCGCTCATCCGTTGGAGCTGCTCCTGTAGCAGCCGTAGGATCTCGTCGGACTTTTCGCGCTCGCGCTTCCGCTCCGCCGCATCCGCCGCTCTTCTTGCTTCGCCCTGCCTCTGGGCTTCCGCCAGCTCCTGTAGGCCCTGAACAATCTGCTCCTGGGTCCACGTTGTGGCTCCCGCTGGCTGGGCGCCCAGCGGCACGTCGGCAGTCGTGTTCGCCTCCATCGCGCAGTATAATCGGTGATGAGGCGGGTGAAAAGAGGAGCTTAGATATGTTAAGAGTCCAGCCCACGTGAGTCCACGTTGGGGGGATTTCAGTATATAGAATCTAAGCTGAGGAGTAGAGGTTTCTGGAGCGGAGGTTCTGCGGAGGTTCTGCGGAGGAAAAGCGCTCAAGTGGGACCTCCGCGGAAGCGGCGCGGTGAGCCGTGGCAGTATCCGGGCTGAGGCTCGGATCCACTAATCGGGTCTAGCCCGTAACAGTACATGGCTCTCAAACAGGCCCCTCAAGACCATTGCACATGATCTTCATATATATATATATATATGCTTTTCATGAGGCACTGACTTCTTTGTGACTAGGTTGTTTACCAGGCTGGTGTTAACGAGAAGCTTCTCGGCGACTTCATCAGAAAGCACAACGTTCGCGACAAGGTGTTCAGTCAGTGCCTTCCCACTGTTCTCACTTGATTGCCTATCACTGACATCCTCGTACTTTCAGTCGCTTCTAAGTGTGGATTTGATGTTTTTGGCTCTGGCGGTATCACCAACTCTGCTTCCCACATTAAGACATACATCGAGGGCACCATTGAGAGACTCGGTTTTACTCCTGACCTCTATTATCTTCATCGCATTGACCCCAGTAAGCTTCCAAGTCACGGATGAAGATGAGAGGAAACTTTCACTGACAGATACTCAGACACGCCTCTCGAGGAGTCCATCACAGCGCTCGATGAGATCCGCAAGGCTGGCAAGACTAAGTACATCGGTCTTTCTGAGTGCTCAGCTGCCACCCTTCGCAAGGCCAACTCAAGTAAGTCCCACCTTTAGAAGTGCTCAGACTCCCACTAACAGCCCGTAGTTGCCAAGATCGATGCTCTTCAAGCCGAGTACTCAGCTTTCGAGACCATTCACGAGACTGACGGCCTGATTGAAGCTGCCAAGGAGCTCGGAGTTGTATACGTGGCTTACAGCCCCTTGGGTCACGGATGGCTCGTTGATGACTTCCAGTACAAGAGCCCAGACGACTTTGCACCCAACGATTTCCGTCGTGGAAGTAAGTTATAACTGGAAACAAGAAACTGTGTCTAACAGGCGCTGATAATATGATATAAAGGCCCCAAGTTCCAGGGCGAGAACTTCTACAAGAACAAGGCTATTGTTGATGAGATCAAGAAGCTTGCTGTGCGTAAGGGAGTCACGCTGCCTCAGATTGCCCTTGCCTGGGTTGCCGCTCAGGGCATGATTCCAATCCCTGGCACAACAAAGGCCAAGAGGTTAGAAGAAAACTGGGTGTCAAGAGATATTGTTTTCTCCAACGAGGAGAGGGTGGAGATGAGGAAGATTATCGATGCGGCCAAGCCGCACGGAAACAGATACAACCCAACCCAGCAGGCTATGGTTGGACACTAAGCTAGATTCGCGATATACGAAGCTATGAAAATTTTCGTTCATGACTGAAAGTACTTTCGAGATTTTCATCGAGCATGTGACCTTCCGATATCAGGAAGTAGTACACACCACCGCCACTGGCGACGCAAAAAAAAGCACATTGAACCTATATGATATAGAAGTTTCTTTGCCGAGCGTTTCTAACCCATTGCTTGTCCCACATGCCAATCTCAAAAAAGCCAACTCTTTGTACCACCGGACCAGATCTCGAATGCCAGCGTGAACTAAGTCCAGTCATGGACTTGTAGGGCGTCTCCAATAGGACTAGACCAATTTCAACCAAGTTTTCGTTGTTGAACAGACTCTTGGAGTTGCCGAGTCTCAAGCAATACAACTTTGTTTTTGGAAGCTGAGCTGGGCTCGTATCCATGACGATGACGCCGCCGGCCGATGGCTCTGACCGCCTGGTGATTTTGAACGGGTTGGTGCTTTGTTTGAATATCGAATAGCACTTGGGAATTCCAGTCACAATAATCGAATCTTTGATGAGATGTTTTTCGGATACCACAGTCTCAACAGCGTAGTTTGTGAGGCCAATAACCCCCCATTCGAGCTCCCCAAATTCGAAGTCAGTCTTGAGCGAGGTGCGGCCGAAGAATGGTTCAAGAGGCGTGTCAGGAACCGATATATCGTCGAAATTCTGAGATTTCGGATTGAGATATTCCATGCCGCCCATTCCAATCACAGTTGGCCTTGCGGAGGAACCTCTGGCGTAAGGGTACCGCACACGATCATCAACTGATATCCATGACCAGGACGGAAGCCACACGGATAGGGGCTCAGATTGTGTTTCCGGAATAGCGTTGAATGTCGCAGAATTCCTGAGGGGCGGAGGCCAGCCTTTGTCTTTCGCTGGTCTAGGTGTACCAAGGTCGAAGGACGGCTTCCATGAAAGCCCTCTCTTAAGATCACAAAACCACATTCCAGCTACATAGCTGCTGAGAAACTGGTCGGGCCGGCGTATGTTTTGCTGAAAGTGCGCCGCCACACCGGCAATCGCGGGAAGTCGATCTTCCGGCTTGCTGAGAGATTTGCCAGAATAAGCTTCGACAACGCGCAGCCAGTCATCTAACCACGGCTGGACCCGCTCGAGGCTATTGTATAGCATTGTTCTGTCAGTTATTCGAGCCCAAGTGACGCGGAAGGGCGGAGCCATAAATGGGGGTTCTGATCGAGTAAACCAGCTGCTGATCTCAGGGTATGTTTCGGATGCGATGGACGCTCGGCATTCCCAGAGTACTTGACTCTTGGTGAAGTAGATGATTCTTTTCGACAGCTGCCTCTCCTGGAAGCACCAGCCACGGGAAAACAAGGGGCCATTGGTCACCGACTGGGCCCAGTCTGCCATGTAGGGCTGGAAGGTGACTGAGATCTTGGTCTTCACTTCGTCAAAAGTCTTTGTGCAAGGCCGTACGTGCATATCTGGGTCGGATCCTCGAGGGAGGAAGCAACCACCACTCCCATCTTTCGAGTCCGATGCGACGAGAGTGCAGATAGCCATGGAGTAGATTATCTCCATCAGTGGTAGCTCGCGGTCCTTGTCGGTCTTGTCATCTTGAACAATACACAAAGAATCGATCCAGAGCCACCCGATATTGAGCTCTCTCGCAATCTTAACAGCATGCTGGAATGTTGGAGATAACTCATCATGACGAAGACCAACACGCATCATATGCTCCAGATTTGCCTTTGTCGTTTGCGGCACACTTTTGGGGTCTCCCCAGCAGTGGCTCAACGCGGTGTAAGAGGGCCCGAAGCCGCCTTCATCTCGCTTCAGACCGGCCGAGAGCACGAGGACAATGTTCTCGCCTTCCTCGCCGACGCGCAGGAGTCTTGTAGGCGAAGCAAATTCGTGCTCCAAAACAAGCTCTCCCACGTATGCGCATTTATCGCGGTGCCTTTTCTGGCATTCATCCAGCCAGAAGTTCAGAAGCTGAAACACCTTGGGGGAGTCCGCCTGTGCCGCCAAGGGGGAAAAGTGCTTCTTGGCTGGCTCAAAGTTCTTCGTTTGGCTATATAAATCCCAATTCGTCACGTACTTCCCTGGTTTCTTGGAAATAGCATCAGAGTGGACGTTGAAGCGAAGATGCGTGACATAATTTCCCCAGGATAGCGTCAAAAGAGGACCAGGCCTTTCATCCGAAGAACTGTTACGGGCGGGAGTAGTAATGTGTTTCTCGTCAGGTCGGAGAACTGAGTAATCCGCTACCTTAGGTTGCCAATACCCGGGCCATGAGGTAGTCCATAGGGTCTTCAGTGCAATTCCATTCCTGTCAATTGTAAGTCCAGAGTCGCCTTTCTGCCCTGCTTCAAGGGCATCGAATATCAAGGTACAAAAATGGCATCCTTGTTGAGCTGAAAGTTGGATTCTCGCAATGGCCCCGACACCACTGTAGAATGAATGCGAGATTGTCGAGCCTGGTTCGAACAACTTTCTCGGTAGTTTAAAGCATTCAGTGCATGATCCCTTATGAGAATGTTCTTTTGCTCCAGCCATGGGTGATAAACTTAGCTCAGCCATGTGATTAGGCTTGCGGAAGCGGAAATGTCATCGTCTGGTGATTGATTCAGTCATCAAAGTACGAGGAATGATTTGAAACTAACTGTACTCCGAAGATAATGGGCAAAATATCTCCTTCTTAATATAATTGCAACATTAATCAAATGGTTCGCCATTGCCTGCTGTAGCCTACCGGCCTGCCAAAGTCTCTGCCTGGCTTACTGCCTTATGAGAAACGGCCTAATTCCAATTGGTCAGCGACTTCTGGGGTAGCTGCATAGAAAGTTCAGCTCCTGCAAGCCACCGTGCAACCGCAATTGTGGCAGCACATGATAATCCGCAAATCATGCAAAAGTGCAGGTGGCCCAGACTGGAAACAAACAAACCGGGGGACCATTATCAGATATCACCACGAGGGCTCTCAACTACACAAATGGCGATAATCATGATTCGTAAGAACAGAAGGCACCTCCAAAGTGCGGAAGTATGCGTGCTCTAAGCGTGTGAGAATCTATTTTGAACCCTCTTGGCCTGAATGAAGACTTTCGACAAGAGTTGAATTCTTGAACATGAGAAATGCAATTGCTCGAATACCGGAATATGTAAGGACGTTCCAGCTCACTCAAAGCGACACTAATTTCACCTGAGAGTGAAGCATGGAGCGTGGTATCTTCATCCAAAGTGAGGATCTCTCTGATCGCTGCAACCGGCTCAGACAGACCGTCGGTGGCCCCTTGTATGGCTGATAGATCGAATACAAGAATGAGATGGAAGTAGGAAACCGGCAATGTTCGATGATGGGACGGGAAGCCCCACACCCTCTTCTTGGCATGACATGAAGACCTTGTCGCTCATCGCGCCTGGGAATACATGGAATCGTTACGTTGTAATCGAATGGCACATAAGCAGAAGTGCTGCAAACTGACGCGACGTGTGAATCTCCCCCCCTCCCCCCCCCCTCCTTTCGACTACATTTACCCTTCCTACTTCTGAGTTTTCGTGTCAAGACACATACATCTCTTGAGATGGGCGCAGCAGTCGAGGCAGTGTCCAAGTGGAATAAGCTGTGTTTCAGTGCCTTCCAGCGCTAGCGCTGACGGTCTCACTTAAGCCCATATCCACCGCGCCGATCAACTGCTGCAAGGCAGTGAGGTACAGGGCTATGCGCGTACTCAAACGTAGGCAACAATGCGATATCCGTTCTTGTGGCTCCGTACTAACCATCAATGCATTGACTGCAAGTTGCGAAACGTAAGTGATAGTAGAGACTTCTTCGATGGCTCTAAGCAGTCTCGGGAAGGCGTCTCGAGTTAACAAGACGATTTTATGGTGATGGAAGTCATCACAACGTAGACAAGAATTGATGGTAACTTTTATATTACGCTGCATACATGTAGCCGACCGTATATTTTAGCACACTGGGGTATCACGCGCCATCCACCATCATCATTAGAATTACTCTTTCAAGCCTTCTCGCCCTTGATCACCTTGTTGCGACCAATGCCAATCATCTGGAGCATCTCCCTCCAGAAGGTGGTAGGGGGCTCGTGCACCATAGCGTGCTGCTCATAGGCCTCGATAATGGGACGGTCCCACGTCAAGTCCACCTCATGGGGCTTGAGCCAGTGAGTGCGCTTGAGGACCTTCCAGAAGATGAACAGGAGAGGCGCGACAAGCTGCATCGTGTAGTTGGAGAAGAAGCCTCCGACATCGAACTTGGGGCGGAAGGCGGACCATCCGTAGACGAGGATGACAATGGTCTGCAAGAAGAGAGCAACGTAGGCGCCGTAGGGCTGGAGGTATCCGCAGTAGGGCAGCGTCTTGCGGTCGAGACCCTGGGCCTTGCACGCGTGGTAAAAGTTGATGTACGTGATGGACATGACGAGGTAGTTGATGACGCCGCCGCCCGTGATGAGGGCCAGCAGCCAGTTGAGCACCTTTGCGGAGCCGCTGCCACACTGCAGGAAGGAGAGCAAGGGGAAGATCATGGTGACGGCGAAGCAGTAGACGGGCACACCGTTCTTGGTGGTCTTGCGGAGCAGAGCCGGGGCGCGACCGTCGAGCGCCAAGCTGTACAGGGACCGGGTCGCGCAGTAGACGTAGGTGTTACCGGCGGAGAAGATGGTGGTGAAGAG